AACAGTAGAAATGATCAATGAAACCAAGAGCTGGTTCTTTGAAAAGATGAACAAAATTGATAATTAAAATCCCTGAGCTTCAGTATTATTTTTTTTTTAAGGGGGGGGTGTAGAAGGGCAGAAGGAAAGGGAGAGTGAGAATCTTAAGCAGATTCCACACCCAGTGTGGAGCCAGACGCGGGGCTCAATCTCACAACTCTGAGATCATGACCTGAGCTGAAATCAAGAGTCAGACACTTAACCAACTGAGCCACCCAGGTGCCCCTCAGTATTCTTTTCTATCAAAAGCTAGTAAGCCACAAGGATGAAAGGTACAGCATGGGGAATATAGTTAGTGGTAACTATAATAGCATTGTATAATAAGAGATAGTAGTTACATCTGGGGTGAACGTAGCATAACATATAGAGCTGTTGAATCACTATGTTGTACACATGAAACTAAGGTAACATTGTGTGTCAACGTCAGTTAAAAAATACCTATTTCATTAGGTGGCTATGAGGCTTAAATAAAAAAACATGTAAAGTGGCTATTAGTAGGCATTCCATAAGTAATAGCTGATATTATCATTATTATCATTACCACACAGGCAAATAAAAAACAAGGTGAGCATTATGACTGCCTAGTTTGCAGCCTGGAAGCCATACTCAGACTGCAGCACAGGCAGGAGTATAAAGAGCCCAGAGGTCTCCTCGATGTGAGAAGACAGAGGCCAGAGCTCTGGGAGGCCAAGGCAGCCAGAATTTGTGAGAAAGACTATTGGATATGGAAACACAGAGAGAGAGAGAGAGACAGGGGAATGGGAGGGAGGAAGTGAGAGAGAGCTCCTGAGATATTCAGAGGGATCCTTTCAAGTCTTTGGCTGAGAACTGATCTGTAAGTGCATGAGATTGGGAGGCTGGAGAAAGTACTATCAGAAAATATGACAAAATGGAGCTCAGAGAGGACTAGAAATAGTTTGCACTCCCAACAGCCAAGTGAAGAACTCTTGAAATACACAGGGCACTGAATGCATTCCTCAGAAAGGTTGTGACTTAGTCTCGGGACTTAATTAGCCTCAGATTAAAGGCTGCTAAGAACCTGTCATAACAAAGCTTAAAAGCAAGCTTCAAACCAATCTACAAGTGACTTATCTCTATGTGCCAGAGTAAAACCCACCACTCAACCCAATACAAGATCCAGCCCTCAACAGGATTAAAACGAAACAAAACCTCACAAAATCTAGTATCTTGTCAAAAATTGCCAGGCTTGCAAAGAAGCAGAAAAAAACAGGACCCATAGGAAGGGGGTGAGGGGGGGAACAAACAGTAAAATAGTACAGAAATAACAGAGGTAGTGAAATTAATAGTCAAAGACCTTCAAACAGCTATTATAAATATTACACATATGCACAAAGATGCCAAGGAAAGCATGAACATAATGAGGTAAGGGAAAATATAAGACCCAAATGGAACTTCTAGAAGTAAAAATAAAATACCTGAAATGAAAAATAAATTAAGTAAAATTAACAACGGTTAGACACTGCAGAAAAGAGCAATGAATTTGAAGACACAGTAACTGGAATTTTTTTTTTATATTATTATTGGTGCTTCTAAGTAAATGTGTTTAGAATAAAGTGTGATGCAGGTAAATTCAATATATCAAGATATGTCAATATATTGAGAGCATCTGTTCATAAAAGATTATATAGTATACAAACTATTCAAGTCATATAAAACCACTTTTTCAGTGTCTTTTCAACGGAGAAGAATCCTGTTCAGTACACCTCCCCTCCTCAGGTGGTTCATACTGAGCAAGCTTTGTGTTCAGTTTTTTATTTTCTTCTACAATAGCTTTATATTTCTCTTTCATTTCTGCTAATTCTAGGTGAAGCAGCGCTATATCTGGATTTTCTGGGTTAGCAGCTTCTAACTGATGCTTTAAAAAGTCTAAAGCACTATTAGGTTTCCCTGGTTCTTCATATAAGGCTACCACAATACCTTCTTGGCCAGCGTGTCCAGCACCCCCAACTTCAAGTACCTCCAGAGCTGCTCGCGCTTCAAGTGGGAGCCTTTGTAATGGGCCGCGGCGACAACGGCAGCAGCAGAGCTGGAATTTTACGATGGTGAGTTACCTTTAATTTTTATGTACGGCGAATTATTAAATGGTTTCATGGGAGTTAACCAAATACCCAAGCATCTGTAAAATAATTTTTTTTTCTGTTTCTGCTGATGTATGATCCGATCGCTGTCAAATATGAAGTTGCCTGAACCTGAGCCTTCGGACGCAGCCATCCCTCTGGTCTCACGAGTCACAGTGCTTCAATTATTAGAGCTTTATAATACATTTCAACATCTCATAGGCAAGCCTTCTTTCGTCACTCTTCTTTTTCGAAATTTCTTATCCATTCTTGCAGGCCCACTCCTCAAGATGATCCTGGGAACTTCACTACATTTCAAGAGGTTATTGAAAAAACATAATTTGGAAAAAATGAAGCATCTTTATAACACTCATTTTTTCTTCCAGGGCTCTATTTCTCTTGACTTAAGTGATCTGTTGAGACTCTCAGTAAAGTTTTGTGATTATTTTTATATAGGTCCCTCTTTTTTCCTTAGGTTTCCAAAATAAACAGTTATAGGTTTCCCAATAATATTTTTACTCCTCTAACAGTGATATACTTTATTTGCTTCAATCCCTACTGTACTTAATTTTCTGTTCATTTATCACTAATTCAATCCTACACTCTCCCTAACTTATGTCACTATTCTTTCAGTATATACAAACATGATAGATATTTTACCAAATTCTTGCTCTGCTTTGATGTGAATTGAATGTTCTTCTGAGGATTCCATGCTCTATCTTCTGTACTGGGCCTTCTATTTCCTAGATTTCACACAATCTTTCTTCTTGGTGTCTCCAATCAGACCAATGCTTATATAGGCTTTGTCATTACATTAGAGGTGTTGATAGAGGTCAGTGAAAAACACTTTCCAATAACTGGTGCTAGGTTCCTTGGGATCATATATTAAAAACAGTAAAACTGGCTTCTTTTTCAACCACACACAAAAATCAATCCCAAGTAGATTACAGATGTAAACGTGAAAGATGAAACAATAAAACTTCTAGAAGATAACACAGAAGAGTATCTTCATGATATCAGGATACAAAAGGAGTTTTTCAATAAGACACAAAAAGCACTAACCATAAATTTACAATTAAAAACATCTGCTCTTCGGGGCGCCTGCATGGCTCAGTTGGTTAATCCTCTGCCAGGGTCCTGGGATCAAGCCTCACATGGAGCCTGAGCCCGAGGACGGGAGTCTGCTTCTCCCTCTGCCCCTCCCTGCTGTTCTTGCTTGTACCCTCTCTCGTGCTCTCTCTCATATAAATAAAATCTTTGAAACAAACAAAAAACAAAAAAAATGTGCTCTTCAAAAGACACTGTAAAGACAATAACATGCAGAGTAGAAGAAATCTGCAATACATTTAATAAAAGACAAGTATGAAAAATGTTAGAACTCCTCAAAATCAATGAGAAAAAGACAAGCAATCCAACAGAAAAATGGACAAAGGGCAAGCACTTCACAAAAAAAGAGGTTATCTAAAAGGTCAATAAACATGCAAAATGGTGCTCAATCTGATTAAAAAATCAGCAAAAGACAAAATAAAACCATAATGACACACTATTCAGCTCTGATTAACCAAAACACACAACTGGCAACTGCAAGTACTAGCAAGGACATGGGGCAAAATGAACTTACACACATTTGGTGGGAATATAAACAGGCATAATGACTTCAGAGAACAATTTAGCATTATCTAGCAAAAGTGAAGATTTGCAGAACTTATGATCCAGCACTGCCACTTCTGGATATATACTCCAAGGAAAGCTTGCCTGTGTGCTCTAGCTGACATAAATAGAAGAATCTTCATGACAGTTTTGTTTGTAATAACAAACACTAAAACTAATTCAGAGTTCTAAAACAGGGCAATGGACATATAAATTATGAGTTAGTCAAAGAGTGGGTAGTATCTAGCTACACAAATAAACTACAGCTATGAGCAGCATGAGCGAATCAGGATAAAAAGAATACATGCTATATGAATCCATTTGCATAAGTTCAAAAATGGAGAAAACTAAAGTATATTAATTATACAGCTAAGAATCTATGGGATAAACTAAGCAGGGAATAAGAAGTCCCAAATTCATGGTACTGATTACCTTCATAGCATCTGGAGAATAGGAGACACGATCACATCACAATGAGCATACAAGGGGGTGTCAAAGATGTTGGGACTATAACTACTGACTCGAGCGGTGGGGACTTGGGTATTCTTCTTAAGCCACACAAATACATCATATACTCTTCTGTATTTGTAGGTCATAATAAAAATTTTTAAAAAACACTTAACAGTCTGCAGATCCCCTCATTAAACCTCTCCAGCTCACAAACTGCCCCTGCCTACCCTGTAGGATTATTTTCTAGAGAGTGAACCTGGAACACTCCTGTCATGGGAATGCAGGCATAGCAGGCGCAGCTGAAGGAGGGGATTAAGGGAAAGCCTACATACGGCATAAGGAGACACCAACCCCCTTCCCTCTCTCCAAATCGATTACTACATTCTTTCACTATCATTAGTTACATCTTTTTCTCATTGATATGAACTTATTAAGTTCAATATATCAATCTCAACATATCACATGCCAATCCTTATGTATTCCTGTATCACCAATATCCCATAGGTTTTATCTGTCTCTAATTGTTCTATGGCCCTATTGAGTCCCTGCATGGACTACACTGCCTTTTTGGCTGGCGGCACATCATTCATGTTCTCCATGGAGAGCTTAGAGCAGTTACGCCTGTCATCATCATTACATGTTTAACTTTTGGTTGAGTGTTGTTGGTTTGTGTGTGTAATGGGAGTATTAACTTAGAAAACATAGTCTGTGACAAAAATGCAGTATTATTGTGTTCTGGAATTTGATCATGTGATAAAATAGCCAAAAAAAGTTAAAACTCACCTCTGCCACTTCCTTTTGAAAAGTCAACGTCATCTGGGTTCTGCCATAAACAAAAGGTCCACCTTTACAAGAAACATTTTCAAGCCACTTGATAATCAGCGGAGTTGATACATTAAAAGGCAGATTTCCAATAATATGTATATTTGGAGGATCTGGTAAGCAGGAGAAAAAACAACCTATAACGATTTTATTAATGGATTCTGAATACAATTTTAGCTAAGAGTTACATCAAACCGGATACTAATAGTATCAAACAAAAATATATAAAAAGATATGGCTAAGTATTTTTCAGTCCATTTATTCTTCAAAAGCAATGTTTTCTCACAATTAGCTTTGAATTATTAAGAAAAAAATTCTACCTTAATTAGTGCTCAAAGTCCTTAGGTTTTTTAGCTTAGGAAAAATATGAAAAAGACTTGGTTTGAGGAAAAAGACAATTTGATCTGGACATGATATGGTCAAAGTACCTGCACCCAGATGATGCTGTCAGAGGGTCAGATGACCAGGAAGGGGATACTGGCTGCATATACAGACAGAAGTGTCTGCAATATACACATGGTCAGTGAAACCACGGGAGCAGGGTCCTTCAGGCCAATCTGCAGCACAAGGAAGATGCTCAAAAAAGAAAAATCTCAGGAACATCTAAGAGGTGGGTAGAAAAATAACCACCAGCAAAGAATAGCTAGAGAAAGCTCACACAATGTAAAAGGAAGAACAGAAGAACCTGGTATCAGGGAAGGCAGGAGCAGAGATAACTTTTGGAAGAGAGTAGGCAACAGTCACATAAATGCCTGAGAGCTCAGTCAGATAAGGTTTGAAGAGGAAATTAGGAGGTCAGTGTGACTCCAGCATGGCTGGGGCAAGGCTGGAAACCTGGAGTCAGTGTGCTTTGAAGAGAATGGCATGTTGGAAGGTGGAGACAGGCAGTGCCGACCTCTCTGAAGAAGCCTGGCCGTGGAGAGGCCGGAGACAGGAGGCAGTTAGATGGAGGCGCACAGCAGCACCTGCATCTGCTCCGAAGGGTTTCACAGGCAAGTAATACACCTCACCTATCTATGTGTCCCAACGAGCTGGCACACAGCAGGTACCCAATAAACAGTCTACAGATGAAGAGTGCCTTGGCTGGTCACTGAATGGGAGACCGTGGAAATTAGATGGGTGTGGTTTACTGAAACATTTCTTTTTTTCACCATTTGGAAAAAGTTAACAGTTCATAGTTTATCCCATCCTTATATGGTATCATAAAAATAGCAAGTTTATTTGAAGAGAATTCTGAACATTTAAAAAACATGAGACAAGTAAATTAGAATTTAAAAAAAGGAATTAGATTTATTACTTTGGAAAAAAGTAGAAAAAATTACAATGCATACCACCTATTTAATTCTGTTCTGGTAATATTTAATATAAATGCATAATAACATTTGTAACATATAACAACATAAATATTTGTACTATAAATAATAAAAGAAAATAAGAAAACAACCCAAAATCACTTACCATCCTCCCACTGTCTTTTAAGACTTCCTGGAAAAGCCCTTTCTATCTTAAATGTCAATACATCTCCATGGACAATTCTCAGTTTTCCAGGTGCTGCATCAGAAAGCATCTAATTTACAAAAAGGTCAATAAAACGAGCTCATACTTTAGAGGATAGTGAAACACACACACACACACACACACACACTCTCTCTCTATATATATTTTTTACTTCAGATCTGTGCATCATTAAATCAGTATGAAAAGGCAGAGACTAAGAGTGATCACTAATGAACTATGAGTACACCGTGTCTACTGTAATAGACAATCATGGTGTTTCATTTCTAACACATATGAATGACCCGTGATGGTAACAGATTATAGTAGAGCAATAGCTTATGATTTCACAAATGATATATTAACATAATTCTGACCCCCAGAATAACTTGCATTTCTGTACAGATTTAGCAAAAACTCAACTCCTATCTGCAAGGTTTTTTTTTTTTTTTTTTTAAAGATTTTTATTTGAGAGAGAGAGAGAATGAGCAGGGAGTAGGGGCAGAGGGAGGGAGAGAGAGAAACAGCAGGGAGCCTGACTCAGAGCTCCATCCTAGGACCTGGAGATTATGAGCTGAGTGGAAGGCTTAACCGACTGAGCGACTCAGGTACCCCTCTATTTCCAGTGTTTTTAAATTATAGACTAAGGACATTATAATATTGAGAACTATTTGGGAATAAATCATAAAGATGAACTTAATTCAATAAATCTTTATAGCCTAAATACATATAAAGAATTTTACATATTATCAAGAGCTATAACCTAATCTACCAGTAGATTCAAACCAAGTAGAAAGTCATTTGTCATTGCCAAGCTACACGTGGCACCCTGAGACACTCCCCTGACATTCCTAATCTTACTATTTCTTGATCCACAGGCACTTTCAACCTAATGAATGAACTATCCTGCATGTTTTACCAAGAGCTACCTTCCAGCCTATTTCTACTTTCCAACCACTTGTTTTCATTCCTCTTGCTTTAGTCTAAGTATAAAAGGAAAAAAAAAGGCGGGGGGGAAGTACCCTTTTCTTTCTTATTTTTCTTCATTTTATCCACCTTAGCACCATACCTTAAGAAATGCTCTCACAGTACTAAAGTGTTGGCACCCATCTGAAAAGAGCCTTGAAGCTAAGCCATCTATATATTTGTATTGCTTTAAGGGCTCCTGTACCCAACACAAAACTTATTCTTAAAGTCCTTGGCTTAAAACAACAACAACAACAAAAAACCCCAAAATCCCAACCCAGATGCAGTCCCTGACGCTTACAAAGTTTAAAATGCAGGAGTGAATGCAATCGATGAGAACAAACATCCCTGCTAATGTAGATTTTAAGGAAGAGGTGACCCTCTTTCCACATCAAGTCTCACCTCAAGGAGCTCAGACACCCTTGGCTCCAAATCAGGGAACTTCTGCCCTGAGCACCCCTTACTTCTCTAGCTCAATTAAAGCTGATTCTCTCTACTAACCCTTCCCTTGCCTAATTCTGGCAACTGATAGGAAGGATGAAAGAAATATCACAGAAGCCAGAGAGGAGACCCTGGACCAAGGCACCCAGTTTGTAGATTACTCCTGCCTTTGGGTTAATGCTGTGCCTCGCATATGCTTCTTTACAGCATTTATAACATACTATATTGCGACTGTGTACAGAGAGGCTTCTTTCCCATGTAATAGCATATGCTCCTTAGGCGTAGTATCTGTTTCTCATCTACTTTAATGTCCCTTGCAGCTACAACAGCACACAGTAGGTGCTTCACATTTTTTTATAAGTGAATGACCAACTATAAAACTGGAAACTTCCCCTCCCAGACCGAGATTTGAGGGTCCCAAAATCTGTAAGGTCAAGAAACTTGCAAAGATTTATTTCACTGATAAATCAGGTAGAATTATATAAGTAACATTTCAGAAATTCAGAGCTCAAATGCTTATATTGGTAAGAAGCTTAACATTTTCAATTTGGGAATCATCTAGTTTGGTATGTTTCATCATGGCAGTTTACCAAAAATAACTGCGTACTTCTGATATTAATGTACTTATGGATTATTTTAAATTACCAAGATTTGCTAAAACTTAATCTGATGAGTTCCAGACAATAAATCATCAAAAACATAATACCCTCAATACACTATGAATAAAAAAGGAGCTAGCTCTCTGTGGGACAGGCTCTTACTATATAAAAACTGTATTTATTGATAGCATTTACTATCAATGAAGAATTTGTTTTTTTCTATAATTATGCTTCACATAATTAAAACAAATTAGCATACCAAAAACAGAGAGGCAGAAGAACTAAAAGCTTATGCTTCATGATATCAATATATAGAAAGTAATAAAGTAATTAGTAATTAAGACTACAACAAAACAATGTAAATTTGGCTCTTTGGCATTAATACACATGCTCTGATAACCACGTTTGAAATGTTCATTTTTTTCTACAATGACACATATAGCTGCATACCAGAAAACTGATATAACACACATTAACCTTCCTTTCCTAGATTTAAAGTTGCATTTCTACCCTATTTCTTTTGGATGCCCCTTCAGGCTTAAATCTCAGTCAATGACAAAGCAAATCCTCCCCTTCTTTAAAAGGTACATCTTTTAAGACCACTCTGTAGCTTGATCTTCCCCTTTCAGACTCCCCACTGCAGAAGGAATGAATACTGGTGACCACAGCTTTAAGTGAAGTCCTTGAAACAATTATGGGGGGAAAAAAACACTATACAAACTGAAATTATAGTATAATTACAGACAACAGCCATTTAAACACCTAATGATATTCAGCAATGACACATGAACACTTTCTAACCAACCACTAATAGAGAAAATGTTTTCATTATCCTGACAATATTTGGGGGATGGTGGAGAGGTGGGAAACATCACTGTTATAGTCCTTCAAGAACACTGCTACATTACACTTTAAAACCCTGATGGTGTTAGCTCATAATGTGCTCAAAGGCACAGCCTACTATGAATGCAAGCACTTGATTACAGCCAAATGAGTATTTTTACAGACACTCTTAAATTGTTCTATCATTTTTATTTTAGTTTTCAATCCTATATCCTTCCAAAATGAGATTTAAGTCAGCTTAGAGTAAAAGGCATTCATTAGCTAAGGCTGTAAAAGAAGAAACAGAAAACCAAACCATGAAAAGGAAAAGCATGTATATAAATCCTAGAGGTGTTAACTCGCAATTTATATACTGAATTACAGAATTCTTAGTCTCTACTGGAAATAATTATACTAAATCCCCAAGAGAGAAAATAGTTTTTTTGTAGCATTAAGTTTTAAGGGATACAGGGAACAAAATAATGGCGAATGCCTTTAATAAAAATGAGGAAACAAATGCAGGAGAATTCTTCCTTTGGTGATTTAAAAAAACTCTCTCTTCTAAGTCAAGGTCTTCGAGATGGCTTTTCCACAGGGGGCAAGTTACTATGGTCCACCTAGGTAATTTGTTGGTGATCTAATCTGATGAGGAAATAATTTATTCAACTCTTAGAACTTAGACACAACTAGAAATTCCTTGAGAACAAAGAACTATATTGACTGGTCATTTTGTATGTTTCATGCCACCTTCTCATCATGAGGGGCTCATGGCAACCAGCACTGTACAGTGAGCTAAAGCATTAATTACACAGCCTGGTGATATTACCTTCTTCCTGACTTGCTACATAGTAGGAACCCAAACATTGTTGAAGTGCTGTGCAAAAGTGTTAGGCAAACTATATGAGAAAGAATCTGTAATACAGAACATGATAGGTGAAAGACAAAATTTGTATTCTTCTAAAGAACACATAAAAAAGACTAATGCTATTATTCAAAAGAATTTAAGACAATGTTATAATAGACTTTTCTTTAAGGTGAAGATTACAGCATGATTTCAAAAAGTCAACTTGTTTTGTTTTTTAAACAGGACCCAAACACGTATAGCAGAAATTAATTTACTCAGCCTCATCAAGGATTTAGAGATTTGATTTAGTAAACTTTCTATTCAACCAGCGGTTAACATTTCTTAAAAAGAAACTTACGTAGTATCGTGTCCTATCTTTTTCTTGTCCAGTTGCTATGGCTACGACTTCCAGTAATGTAACAAATAAAAATGGGGAGAATGGACATACTTGTCTTGTTCCTGATCTTAGAGGAAAAGCTCTCAGTTTTCCACTACTGAGTATGACATTAGCTGTGGGTTTTTCATAATATCATGTCGAGGTATGTTCCCTCTAAACCTATTTTGTTGACTTTTTATCATGAATGGATGTTGTTCTTTGTCAAATGCTTTCTCTGCATCTAGGATCATATGTTCATTTTTTATACTTTCTCTTATTAATGTCATGTATCACATTGATTAGCGAATACTGAACCACCCCTGCATTCCTGGAATAAATCCCAGTTGATCAAGGTGAATGATTTTTTAATGAATAACAATGAAGCAGCAGAAAGAAAAATTAACGAAACAATCCCATTTATAATTGCACCCAAAATAACAAAATGCCTAGGAATAAACTTAACCAAGGAGGTGAAAGACCCATACTCCGAAAACTATGAAAACACTGATGAAAAAATTGAAGATGACACAAGTGGAAAGGAAGAGTCAACATTGCTAAAATGTCCATACTACCCAAAGCAATCTCCAGGTTCAATGCAATCCCTATCAAAATACCAACATTTTTCACAGAACTAGTACAAATTACCCTAAAATTTATACTGAACCACAAAAGACTGCAAATAACCAAAGCAAACTTGAAAAAGAACAAAGCTGGAGGTAACACAATCCCAGATTTCCAGATATACTGCAAAGTTATAGTAATCAAAATAGTATGGTGCTGGCAAAAAAACCCACAAAAAACAAAACAGGCACAGAGATTAATGGAGCAGAATAGAGAGCCCAGAAATAAAACCATGCTTCTTTGGTCAATTAATCTTTGACAAAGGAGGCAAGAATATATCATGGGGAAAAAGATGGTCTCTTCAACAAATGGTGCTGGAAAACTGACAGCTACATGCAAAAGAATGAAACTCTACCACTTTCTTACATCATACATAAAAATAAACTTAAAATGGATTAAAGATC